TACTATGATAAAACTCTAACACGACGGGATATTCCCAGTAGTATACCAAGTAGTCATACCAGTAAGACTACTGGAGATTTTCTTCCCCAGTAGTCTTACTGATACTTAATCAATTTTACAAACCCCAAGGAAAATAGATACTAGAAAAAATATTTTGATTTAGGTTATACATAATATACATAAGAAATTAAAAATTCAAACCAAGTGCAATTTTTATGAAAGTGCTGTGGATAAAACAATTATTTTACCAATTTATGAGAATTTAATGTTACTTAATTTAATAAAATTAAATTGTTTAAAAGTTTCAACTGTCAAAAGCAATTTTGTTATTTAAAGGCCAACTTTGCTAAAAAAAATTCAACGTTATTATAATAATTAATTTTTGGTTTCAGACATAATACTCATTTATAATTTTGTTTTGTGCAGAGTCATTGGCGCTGTCAAAACATTACGACTACATACAATTTTTATCAAAATGGAATAAATTCTGGGAAGTATTGTGATAATATTTAATTAATACAGCAAAATGCATTGATTTAGGCCGAAAATGATTGTGTTTCAGGGAAAGATGCGCGGTGTGCTGTAGCACATTTCAAGTCTATGTAATATAAAAACTTTTGAGTGCTGTAGAGTTCTATTTAGATTTTTTAATGAATATCTTCGCTCAGCTAAATTCACAGCCGGATTTCCTACAGTGTTAAAATTGTACCGGCGGTAGGCGTATTTCGGCTTAACGATCTCATCCGATGGGCTCTTGTCTCTATAAATGTACGGTTTCAAGGCCTTGTGGAATATTTAGAGACGATGGCAGGCGACCCGTCGTTATGACATTGTTCCCTTGGGAGAGAGGTAAAGCCCTAATCTAGGTTGCTACCTGCGTATACACTGTGGCAGCCTCTCATCTCAGGGGTACCTCGGTTAGAGCCGGGGCTGCATCAGAGGCAGCTGAACTGAGTGAGTGGCACAAATATGAGTCTCTGAGAGATGACTACATATTTGTGCCATTTGCTGTAGGGTCTGTCGGTCCATGGGTCCACGTGCAGTGAAGTTTCTAAAGGAACACTACCCGCGACTGGTCAGCCAAGAACCAGCCCCCTTATCACCGGCAGCAATGGCTGCTGGTGATAAGAGGACTGGTTCTTTTCTCGCTCAAAGGCTAAGTATAGCCATTCAACGAGAAAACGCAGCCAGCATTCTTAGACCGATACAGCGGGGACAGTAGGTATGTATGATAATTAAGTTATTACTTTTAGTTTTTTATATTATAGGTTATTTTATTGTATATATTGAATTAAAATTAAATGAAGTATGTATTAATATCTAATAAAAATAGCTTAATGTGTTAGAAGAACATATTTTTACCCATTACCCTTTAAAATTAAAAATAAAATAGCTTTATTATTTTTCTATAAATAATATTACTATAAAACCACTGTTGATGATGTAGGCCGCTGATGTCGTCTTGGAGAAAAATATACTAAAACAATTTGGTGAGCGCGTGTACATCCGCGGGGAGGGAGACATAGGTGTCACCTCGAATGATGTTCTAGTGCAACTAACTCGAAACGCGGGATCATGTACTCAGCGGTGCAACACCGATGTTGCAAATATACCTTCACCCTACTAATAAAAATCGCGCTAAGTGCCACCGTCCCCGTATGCACACGTACTTATTTATTATAGAAAAACAACAAGTACATAAGGTAAGTAACAATGTTTTATGAGTATATATTTTACATATATTATTTTCTATTGATTACTATTATTTATATTTCAGGTGTTCGAGAAGCAACGTGAGCGTCATCAACATCATCTGCCCAAGTGTCGGTTCGCCGACACTCATCCCCAAGCTTAAGAAAGGCCACACGAGCAGCTGATCGCTTCATCACTCCTGACTTAGTCCTAACGTCAACTACTCTGACTCTGCCGTCTGAACCTGGATAAACTTTTTCAATAATACCTATTGGCCAACAGTTACGAAATAATGATGGATCGACTACTACAACAAGATCTCCTACTTTTAATTGCGGACCTTCCCTATCCCATTTACGTCGAGGAATTAGCTCTGGCAAAAACTCTTTTACCCATCTGCTCCAAAATAAGTCTGTCAACCGTTGGGCAATACGCCACTGCCGTCTAAGATACATGTCGCCATCATCAAAGACCCCAGGTATAGGTAAGTTCGAAGAAGATCCTAGTAAAAAATGATTTGGAGTTAATGCCTCTTTACTTTGAGGGTCTACCGAAACATGGGTAAGTGGTCTACTATTAATTATATTTTCGACTTCAGCGAGAAGCGTTAATAAAACTTCTTCTCGTGGAGCCCTCTCTCTAAGAACGACTTTCAGTGCCGTTTTCACACTTCTAATCAGACGTTCCCAAGCTCCCCCCATATGAGGACTGGCTGGTGGTATAAACTGCCAGGAAACTCCTTTGTTTAATGCTTCGGCTGTAACTTGCTGCTGATTAATTTCTTCAAAAGATTTTCGAAGTTCGGTATCAGCACCTCGCATGTTGGTTCCGTTGTCAGATATGACAGTATGAGGCCACCCACGACGTGCAGCCATCCTTCTAAGAGCCATAATAAGTGAGTCTGCGGTAAGCGTCGATACCATTTCAATATGAACAGCTCGTATTGTTAAACATGTAAAAAGAACACCATATCTTTTGGGTCTCTGCCTGCCCACAGTTACTTCGATCGGACCGAATAAGTCTACACCACAAACAGTAAAAGGTCTTTGATGATGAACTAATCTTTGAGATGGCAAGTCCCCGAGGCGAGGCAGTTTTGGTGCTGCTTTTCGTATTCGACAAACTAGACACTGTGAAGCTACGGAGCGAACAGTAGGTCTCAGATTTACAACCCAATATTTTTGTTGTAGCTCATTTATTACAAGTTCATTATACGAATGAGCGGCACGGACGTGGAAGTCCTAAACCACCAGCCTTGCTATGCGATGTTTACCATCCAGAATCACCGGGTTTTTGATAGTTTCAGTGACGTTTGCAGCCGCGTTTATACGCCCTTCTACACGCAATAAGCCGTCTTTATCTAAAAATGGTGTTAATGAACGTAAACGACTATCACGATTGATTTCTTTATTTTGTTTCAGCAAATCAATTTCAGTCTGATATGATTGTGATTGTGAATAGCGTAACAAAAGTACTTCGGCTCTATTCATTAACAAATTATTAATACACCGAGTACCGGTTTTTCTACATTTTTCTATAAATAATAGCACAGATGCGGTGCAGCGAAGCAAGCGCAACCACACTGAGAAACGGTTTGGATCCGGAATGGGTAAGTCATAAATACTATTACAATTCTCCTTTGGTGATTTTATTACTACATATACTTTATCCAACAGCTCATTGTTGCTCTTTTCGTTATTTTCAGGCTGTCGGGGCCAATACTTTTCTTCTGTGTACAGAAAGGATGGGCCCGTTAACCAAGAGGAGTCCTTATTGAAGTCGTAATCATTATTTTTTGTAGCTAAATCCGCTATATTTAAATTTGTCGGCACATAATGCCACTCATCACTTTTACTTAACTCATCAATTTCACCTAACCTATTTGCAATAAAAACTTTGTAATTTCTATGCTCGTTACGAATCCAATAAATAACAATCATTGAGTCAGTCCAATAAAAAACACGCGACGGTTTAATTCTATGCTCCTTTTTTATAGTATCTGCCAAGCGACATGCTAATAACGCGCCTTGAAGTTCGAGTTTAGGCATAGTTAACGGTTTTAACGGCGCAACACGACTTTTACTCGCAATGAATGACACCTGCACGCAGTTGGTGTCTTGTTTGCGCCAATAAGCAACACATGCGTATGCGCATGGAGATGCATCACAAAAAATATGCAACTGCATAGACGTCTCATTGTCGTTTACGGTGCGACCGCTCTTCTCTTTCGCACCGACAGAGTCATCGCCATAGAAATACCAGCGCGGGATTCGAACGTAACTCATTTCTTGTAACTGCGAAATCCAATCTTTGAATAAAATAAATAGACTATCTATTATTTCCTGATCCCACTTTATACCTACATTCCATATTTCGCGCATTAAAATTTTGGATTTTATCGTAAAAGGTGCTAAAAACCCATGAATATCATATACAGACATTATAATACGAAGAACTTCACGCTTAGTCGGTTTTCATGATAGTTGTAAAATATCACTCGGTATACGCTTTAACGAAAGATCGAACCCGAACATATCACTCGCGGGAAACCACAAAAGCCCAAGCGTTAGTTCCGGCTGAGATTCGATATTAAACCGTATCGCCATGTCATTTAAAGTCTCTTTTGGCATATCATTAAGAACATCTGAATTGTTACTTAACCAGTTACGCATCACAAAACCACCTTGCTGATTAATATATGAAACGTCTTTTATCATTTTTGTAGCAGTAGCGACGTCTGGTAAACTATCGATAAAATCGTCCATATATTGATTTTTCCTAATTGCATTAACTGCATCGGGCATTTTATTCTGAAAGCGCAATGTGTTTTTATTTTGGTTAATATATTGCGCTATAAATGGGGAGCAATTAGCGCCGAAAATTAGTGACGTCATAACATATTTCTTAACAGGATGTTGTATAGGTGATTTTGACCCTTTGTTACTACTTCCGAAGCCTAATTGTTCATTTTCATTACTTAAATAAATATCTTTCCACAAAAAACGCAAAGAATTAACATCTTCTGTCCGTACATTAATCCTTAAAAACATGTCTTTTATGTCCCCTATGATACCTATGCAGTTTTCTCTAAATCGTAACATTATTCCTAATAACGATTGTAACAAATCAGGGCCTTGTAAAAGAAAATCATTTAAAGAATAACCGTTCGACTTTGCTGCCGCGTCATAAACTAAACGCAGTTTTTTCTTATTTGGATTATCTACACCAAAGTGCGGCAAATACCATATTATACGTTTATTAAGGTTTTCATCGGTCTCGTTAAGTTCTCTAGCATAACCATTAGAAAATTAGTATGTCATTCTTTCACAATAACGAGTTGCATACTCTTTGTTGAGCAAAAATTTTCTTTCTATTGACTTTAACCGATTAAAAGCGTTAGGGTAAGAGTCGGGTAAATGTAATTCATCGTATTTCCACGGTAAGCCGACAGTCCATTGACCATGTACTAATTCTGCAGTGTCATCTAATATTTGTAAAGCGCGTATTTCGTCTGGGTTGCGGCGCGGCTTCGAACCTACTCCAATAGATTCTAACGTGAAGGATCTACGAACCGCATCGTGCAACTGCGCGCAGGTACATTCACCATTATCATTATCGAGAGAGAGATCGCTAGTAATCGATCCTACCGTGTGTACGTGAAAGACAGACTGCGATGGTCCCGCCTTTTCGGTGCAACTATTAATGAAAGAGACAAAGCGATCAGTGCAATTAACATCACTTACCATATATCCGTGCACACACCATCCAAGCGCAGTTTGAGTTATGTACGGTTCACGCCGCTTACCACGAACACAGCGAATGGGAGTAATTAAATGATGATTGTCCTGACCAATTAATAATTTTGGCTTAGCGTTACAATTACATAACATAAGATCTTCACTTAACAATCCATAATTATTAAAGTACATATTCGGCACTTTTTGTGTTGGTAAATTTAATTCTTTAATTTTACGCGCACGGAAAGTAAACATTTTGTTATACGAATTAGTAACACTAACACTCACTACTTGAGATTCACACACAAGCTCGCCCGAGTCCCATGCGCTGCGCGCGCGCAATATCACGTTTTCACCGTATAATCCGAGCTCATCTGCTATATCAGAGGATATCACCGTCACAGTAGCTCCATCATCCAGTAGTGCATGCGTATGTAAACTGCCATTCGGTCCGTGAAGAGTGAGCGGCACCACTTTCAAAAGCACCTTGTGACAGTGGGATGCCACTGTATGAGTCACTGTTTCATTGGTGCTGGGATGCTCATCCTCACCTCGCTCCACAGTTTTTAAGCTTTCTTCCAATGGTTTAATCCAGTGCAGTAAACGATGATGCGGTTGATTGCAGCCGTCAATGTCGCAATTACTGCTATTACAAGACATACCATTCGTATGGCGGGGGGCAAGACATTTGAAGCAAAGTTTATTTACGCGTACAAATCGCCAGCGATCTTTGCGTAAAGCGCGCTTAAACCGTGAACAATCTGAGACACCATGAGCCCCTTTTCGGCAAAATATACACTTTTCAGCGTTTTGTAATTGATTACTATTTGTGTACAGTAACAGCGAGTGTGAACGGTGTTTACGTTCATCGAGCTTCTTTAAATTATATTGAGCGTGAATATGACTTACTCCTGATGCAGCTGTTTTAGTGGCTTCCTCGTATAAAAAATCACTAAGCAATTCCAGCTTCGGTAAATTACACTCTCGCTGTTCATAAACGTAGTCGGTCCATTTTGCGACAAGTAAAGTTGGAAGCTTGGATACGAGAATTGATACTAATTCCGGGCTGCGAAGATAATCACTTTGTTGCATTGCTTTGGTAGCAGCCACATAGTTCTTTATTTTTATTGCAAAATTAATGATATCATTATGATAAGTTAGCGGCAACGGACATAGCTTTTTTAGCTGTAGAACTATTTTACTCATAATTGTTTCTGGTTTGCCAAATCGAAGTTCTAAGGTGTCAATTACTAACTCGGGTGTAGTTCCACCAATCAAGAGTGAAGTCACCGCTTCTTTAGCATCGCCACGAAGACACTTACGCAGCCGCCATAAATTCTCTGTGTCACTATATTTGCATAATTGGGTAGATTCTTGGTACGCCTGTTTAAACTGCAACCACTCCATTGGATCTCCAAAAAATAAAGGCAGGTCTTTAGACGTTCTTAATCTTGTTAAGAGCTCCTGGTTCTGTGTTTTATATGATGAGGCAGCCACTGCCTCATTCAAGGCATGTGCCAGCTTTTCTAGGCCGAATGTTTCACGGGAGTAATCTTCTCGGTTCTCCTCATGCTGGTTTCCTGGGGCATTAAGCCAATTTTCAACTTTGCTGGTCGAAGATTTTACAGCCGACTTGTGGGAAGAGCGTGATCGAGATTCCAATTCAGCCATCTCAGCAGCAAGCTGTTTCTTTAGCAACTCCGACTGAATATTTGCCTTAATCTTGACAGCTTCTGCCCGAGCACTTTTAACCTTGGCTTCTGCTTCAGCTGCTTGTACTTCAGCTTCCGCTGCTTGTATTTCCACGAGAGCCATAGCTTTAGCGGTTTCGTATTCCAATTGCCGTTTGCGTGCCGTACTTGACGACGTGCCTGCTGTCTTTGATGACTTTTTACTCTTACTACAGGCACTTTGCGCATTTTCAGGTTTTTCCAGCACTTCATCCTTTAAGCTGAACGATGGTAACACATCTTGGTTGTTCTTGCACTCCGATTTTGCAGCGGTGCCACGTGGTCGTCGCTTTTTGTGCGGCGTAACCGGCGTGTGGAACATAACTGGTACTTATTATAATTATATTTTTTGCAGACAACGTAAAGATTCGGCCGAAGGACCACTTTGTTGATGATGTAGGCCGCTGATGTCGTCTTGGAGAAAAATATACTAAAACAATTTGGTGAGCGCGTGTACATCCGCGGGGAGGGAGACATAGGTGTCACCTCGAATGATCTTCTAGTGCAACTAACTCGAAGCGCGGGATCATGTAAGCAGCGGTGCAACACCGATGTTGCAAATATACCTTCACCCTACTAATAAAAATCGCGATAAGTGCCACCGTCCCCGTATGCACACGTACTTATTTATTATAGAAAAACAACAAGTACATAAGGTAAGTAACAATGTTTTATGAGTATATATTTTACATATATTATTTTCTATTGATTACTATTATTTATATTTCAGGTGTTCGAGAAGCAACGTGAGCGTCATCAACAACCACTATAAAATTTCGAGTTTGAATCAATTCAAATTGGACAGCCGCTTGACTTCCCAGAGAGAGATCACATCGCTCGGCGCTCTACCTGACGTTTGCCATGCATATGCGGATAGTGCACTATATATACTATATGTAGTGTTATCCACAAGTCTTTTGTCCTTTATAAAGTTATTATTAATTATTACAGTATTAATTTTAGAGTGACAACAAATTATGATTCAGGCGTAATAGGAAATAAAACCACGCTATTTTAAGAAAATAAAAGAAAATGAATAAATTAAGAGCAGTTATTTAAAAGTGTGGTCAAGGTTTGTGTCTTTACTAGTTTATGGTTTAACTTCAGGTAAAGTAAGAAAATCCCCAAGTGCTGATGAGATAAGAAGGCAAGGTTAAAGTAATGAGATTTTGTTTTATTTTAATTTAGATACTAATTTTATCTTTTGTTAACAACAGGAGCTAAAATTTGCAGCTAAATAATGTAAGCCAAAAGACAGGAGAATGATTGAAAGGAGACGGGTATTTTGGGCCCAATTGTAATAAGTAGAAATATGGTTTAAATAAAGCGTTACATTTTTCTATTTCAAAATATAAAAATATTTGCCCAATTTACAATCTGGAAGACAAGAAATCTTGAAAATAATTTTATGTCACGAATAAAATAGGAAATCGATTACTTTAATCGATTAATGGGAATAAGTTTTAACAATTTAACATAAAAACAACTTACATCATATGATTGATTCAATCAAAGTAAATAGATACATTACAGTATATTAACATAGTGTCAACAGTTTAAGAAATAAAATATCAACATTATAAAAATAAATCTTAAAATCGATTCACGTTAACAGTTCGATTTATTCCTTGTGTTTGTCAACCGTATTTTTAATCTGTGCTGATTATGATCACTCGTCTCGTATCGTTTAGTGCGTGTATGTTTTAAGTGATTCCCGTTGTTTTATTGATTTATATTGCTCGACCACTGCTTTCTTTCTACGGACTTCTGATCTTAATCAATTATTACGACCTTTGCTAACATACCGAATTCCGATAATCTTGTTTACTCTTTTGACTTTGGCTCGTTATTATGGATTTTACGGCCTGGATTTTATCTATTAAATAGTGACTCAATGAATCTCTGTGCAAATTGTAGCATAGCGACTAGTCGCTACAATACACTAGGCTCATGATCCTTCCAAAATAGCAAACGCACTTCAAAAATCAGGTGTTTAGTATAGGTTTTTGCCTGCATAACCTCACTTTTATTAAATATCTTATAATTCTGCTCTCAGATTGCCAAAGTCCGTAGAACTATCAGTGTTGTTTTGATAATATATAAGCTATTAATTGACACCACTTTCATCTTTTTAACAATCTGGGCCCAAGAATATATGAAAGCATATCAGTCTCCTTTTTGTCAATAAAGAAAAAGAGCTTGGATTCATTAAAACTTCTTTGCAAAATGTATGTTGATAATTTAAATCTCGAAAAAATGCTTTAAGGCGATAATAAAATGGGCATAAATGAGGAAGTTATAGCAGGAGTTATATCTACTGGTGGTGGATATATCCAGCTTCATATTGTTCTTGCCTATGGAGACATCGCACCGTACCTCTACGGTTGTATGAAGCACCGCGTAATTAAATTTGCCAATATTGGGAACAAACGGCGGAGCATCGTATGGCTGAGGCTAGGAAAAAAGAGGTGAAGTATGTAAAACTCATCGGAAATATGTCGTCTCAAGGAATACCGATGATAGCCGTAATTGCAGACACACGTTGAGTAAACTTTTATACGACACAAGCTACAATGCTTCCTCTAACGCTGCAACAATTGGTGACCAGCACAGTAAAGAAATTCTGTACTGTGAAAATGAAACAAATGTGGAGAATATATTCCGTCGGATCTTATCAATACACAGATTTCTAAAGAGAGATTTTTCACCAGGTTAAGCTAAATTATTGTAAATATTTGGTCTCGGGTTCAAATCCTGGATAGGGCCAAAATACAGTTATTGGCTTTGTCTGTTAAAAATTTATCAATAGCTGCCCGGAGTCAGAAAGCACGTGCTGCTGTTTGTTCTGCCTCTGATCTCTCTCCGGTCATGTCGGATTACCGTCCCATCGAACTATGAGAGTGAGGGAATAGAAAGTTCACCTATGTCACTATAATTCTGACCCGCACAGGAAACTCGACTGCCTCTTTCACGTTTATGCTTGCCTAGTACTTTTCCTACAATTTATAAAAAAACAAACATCTGTCAAATTAGGCCAAAAAACGTTAACGTGGAATGGATCTTTATGACAAAAATAAAATAAAGCAAAATTGGTAAAAATTACCTTGCGTACATCCGCTCGATAAAATAAAATGATGTGTCTTACCTAGTTTGAATAGCACCTCGCGCTCTCCCTTAATTGCGTGCACTATCCCCGTCACCACTAACCCCAGCACCACTACTTCCAACGCCACTACACTAGGAACGACACACTATTGACGACAACACGACATGTGCTTCGCCTCTACACGAGGCATCTTCAGGTGATTTAGACTTTGCGGTGGCTGACCTCTACTAATACTTATTCTGAACCTTCTCTGAAAATTTGGCCGGTTTTTGGAACATAATTTTGTATAAATGTACATACGTCTGTATATGTATTTGTGTATATATTTTATAACTTGTTTATAAGTAATAAATTTTCATTTTCGTTTTGTTTTTTTTTACTCTATATTGCTACATCTACGTCAAATTCTCACCACTTCATGGGTTGTCTGGTAGAGAATGCGTCAAGGAATTAAGTCTGCCCTTTGTATTCTTTTGTTTTAAGGAATGTAATAAAGAATAGCATTTTTCAACTAAAAAAATGTTCATTTAAAATAAATAAGACATCGGCTTACGACTATATGGCTACAAGGCTCACGTAAGGTCTATATTATCTTTGAATTGAGAAGCAAAGCGGAGGAACCAAGAGACCCATAGCACAGGTTAACCTATTTTGGGCTGCTGGCTGCTGTCAATAAATAAAATTGCTTTGGCTATGTAAGATATAAATGTAACTAGAGTATGTGGTAGAAATAAATGTTTATTATAATAATTATTATAATAATTTATATTAGAATAAGGAACAGTAATTGTACCATGTAACCGACATTATTTACCGTGGCGTGCGAAAAATTGCTTGTAATAATATCGTAATGAACTCAAGACGAGGCCGCAATATTTTATTTGTATTTTCGTCTAAAAAATACAAACATTGAAAGATATCACTATACTGTTATCATGGATTTATAATACCTTATAACCTAACTCAATAATTTGTCATATATTACCTTAAGACTTTAAACGACAATGCAAACTTATTATTTTAATATATGCTGAGTATACCGTCGTGAAATGGTCTACTGCTATTATTGTCTAGTTCTAAACGTGTCTCAACTTTACTCTTAAGTCGCCCACTTCTTAAACCGTCCTCTTTTAAAATTTTATACTTCATAACTCGTTTACGTTATCTTATCTTAATGTTTATGTTATCTTTTATTTTAATGTTTATTTCATTTGTAATGTGTGATCATAGGATGTCTTTCAGTAGTTTAAAAAATACAGATAGTTTGTTTCTTTTTTATCTGATAGACGACCACGCATCACAGAAATCATGTTTGTGGTTCTTAATTACATTTATAATCTAATAGCAAAGTAAATTCATGATAGGCAGGTGTCAGCAAGACAAATATTATATATTGTCTCTGTAGTATTCTTATGTAAAAACAAATAAAATATATTATCTTGATGCTAATTGTTACAAAATCAAAAGCTGGAGTTTCTGAGATGGAAAACATTTTTCAAACAATAACAAATGGACAATTTAAGAGGAGTCGAGTTGCAATCACTATGAGTCCTGAGCCTGCCTGCGTCCATTGAATGGGGGTCCCCGTCACTGCGCTTCCACTTTAGAACTTTCTTCCCCATCGGTTGTCGGCTATATGGCCATTATCCTTAAAGCTATATGATCGGCTCATTGACACTTTAGCTTACTGATCCACTAGGCTATATTAGTTACTGTTGTTAACGTTGCAGGGAAATTCCAAGCACAACCCTTTCTATCGCACGATAAGTGAATTGATTTGAAAATTATAATATAATTATGAAAGTGAACAGCTTCAAAAGTAGACAAGGTGGAATATCGGCAAGTTTAGAATTGAACAATAATGGAAGTGGATGATCCAACCCGCGACGGAGTATATTGCAACGCTGTCGTGTTGAATCGAGAATTGAAGAAATGGTCTTACTAATACGAAATGACACCCGTTTTTAGCTTTTGTCTTGATTTTCAGCAATGATTTATCATCAGTCTGGCTTAGTTGTCAATCTTATAAATAAAAATTTTTGTGTGACGCTATTTGAAAATCTATTTAGTTCGTGTTGAAATGCTTTACAAATGATGTAGTGTAAATATCAAATACGAATTTTGTTTCGACTGGAACGAGGGAACACTCATTTATAATGTCAAATAAACAAATGGTGACAGACGCAAAACTCATCTCTTTGATACAATTTTCACAA